TTCTAAAGTTCTCGGATATATCTGAGTACCATTGCGTGAAATTATTGTTTCCGTTCGGGAGTTTTTGAAGATAATGTGTTTTAAAGAAGTAGAGTATGTCGGAGAAAAGTAGGTTGGGCGTAATTTCGAGTGGGGCATTTAAAGCATTTTTTGCCGCTGCATCCGCCAGTTCATTACCTGCTATCTGTACATGACCCGGAGTCCAGATCAGCTTTAGCTTATTAGGTTTTTCTAACAGTAGGGTGCGAATTGAGTTTATGTAGAAGTTGTTATGTGAGAGGTTTTGAATTGAGGTGAGGGAAGACAAGGAGTCTGAGCAAATAGCAAATTTATGTGGGAGCTTTGTAGCGTACTTGGCAGCTTCGTGAATGGCTATTAGTTCGGTAGAGAAGTTTGAACTGTAGTGGGGAAGATGAAATATTTGAATTATGCTTTTATCTTGGACTATACTGTAACTAGTTTTGTAATTTATTTTTGAGCCATCGGTGTATAAGATTCTAAAATCGGTGAGTTTTCTGACAATTTCCTTGAATTGGTTTCTGAGAACTAAAGGGGGTGTGGAGTTTTTTTGAGAGAGCTTAATTTTGTGTTTATTGCTGTGTGTGGCAGTTTCCAGGGTGGTGTTTTTGAATTTTTGTAGGGCTTAACATTTAATGGTATATCGAATTGTTTTGCTATGTTAGTTATTCTGCTTAGGCACGATGGTATTTTATTTATTCTTGTATGTGTGGTTTTGGACAGGAGTAGAGGTAGAGGGGAGTTGTCGTTGATAATGAGAGATTTGATAAGTTTAGCTGTCAACAAATCCCTAGTAGTATGTAATGGTGGTATATTAGCCTCGGAGGTGAGACACCTGATAGGGGTCGTTTTGAAGGCACCTAAGGCGATTCGAATGCTGGAATTTATTACTGTATTAAGCTTGTTTGTGGTCGATTTAGGGGCGTATGAATATAAGTAAATGCCATAATTAATTTTTGATATTACCAGGGCTTTAACTGCTGTCAATAAAGAGACTGTACTACAGTTGTATTTTGAATTGGCTAAACATTTTATAATGTCAAGTTGTTTTTTTAGTACAGATACTAAATAGTCGATGTGATTATTCCATTTATATCTTTTGTTAAATATAAGCCCTAATATTTTTATATTGTCCACGGTGTTTATATTGACATTATTACAGAGTATGTTAACTCGGCAGTTGTGTTTTTTACATATGTGTATGTGTTTACACTTTTCAAGTGATAGTTGGGCTCCGGAATATTTTGACCAGTTTGTGATATCGTTGTGTAAGTTAGTGAGATCTAGGATAGTATTTTTTGTTTTGTTCATTTGTTTAATAATAACAAAGTCGTCGGCATATGCTAAAAAGTTTAATTCTTTGTGGAGGGAAATTATGTTACACGGCTTGTTATACGCGATAAGAAAGAGTATAACCGACAGTGGTGATCCCTGTGGGATGCCATTCTGGAGCGGATATGATTGAGAGTAGTGTGTATTTATTTTTATTTTAATGGTTCTATTGGTCAAGTAGTTTTTTATGTATAGGAAAATTTTTGGGCCAATGTTCCAATGCCTTAGCTGGTCCAAGATAGAGTGCATTTCGACTTTGTCGAAAGGCTCTAGAAAAGTCTAGAGAGACTAATGACCGAAATATATTTAGTATTTATTTGTAGATAGTGTGAACTTTTTGATCTTCCCTCGTATTTACCTACAAATTAATCGTAAATCATGTCAATATAAAACCACAAAATAACAACAAAATGGGGCTGATAGATTATATGTATTCAGTCTAAGTTTTCAAACAGTTTAAGTTTGAATTTTTTTGCTTTTTATGTTTCTCTTGCACCATGTTTATTTGTCGCATTCGTACTCGTAGGATTTATAGTTATTGAATAGTTGTTGTTGGGGTTAATGTCGTTGTCAATGCAAATTGTTACTGTTTTACGATGGCTTTAATATGGTTTATTGTTTTTTAAATTATGTAGAAATTCTACTAAATAGCCAAAGTTTATTCCGGGATCTCGGAATATTATTAAAAGCATTTACAAACATACATGTGTATGAATAATTGTTTATTGGCACACGAGCGATCGACATTGACCGCTAATATGAGCGACCAACCCTAAAACATGTGTTCATAAAATCTACAAAAATTTCTATATCTAATATTTAAGATGCAAGCTTATTTATGTTATACTAAATATATTTACATAATTCTTGACGTTTTGCTAAGCTTTGGTTTCTTTTAACGTATCTATTTACATATGCGTTAACACACCCTGTAGGAAAATCCGAACTAGAGTGACTAGTGAGTTTAGTACCATGATTGATTCGTCATAATTAACTTTCAGTGTGATAGTGTGACCAGCTAATAACAAAAACCGAAGCTAAATTGATTTAGAAAAAGGGTGAGAAAAAGTTACATCTTATTAAAAATGAAATGAAAAAGAACTTAATATATTCATAACTAAAAAACTTTTCAAAAACTCGACAAGTTCTTATAACGGCTACATTACTTCTAGGTATGCAAAAAGGGGTTGGGTTTAGGATAAGAAAAATACGAAAATTTTGTGAATAAAAGTATGGAAAATAGTCCCATGGGGCATCAAACTAAAGAAAATTATGGATTTCTATATAAAACTACACTGCTGGTCGTACGCCAAGAAATCAAATTGAAAAAATAAATTTAAAGCCCATTTTTTCGTACTAAAATTGGTTTAATAACCTTAAAAAGCGAAAACAAGTAATATTTTTTTTTTCAAAGCAGAATTTTTCATAATAATTTTTGAACGGTAAACGGTAGTTTTTGAAATATGACGGATTTAGTATGACTACTACTTATTTATAAAAGTTTCCATGCGAATTTTATTATGCATATTTGAAGTGAAGAAAGACTAGAAAAAAGCAACGAAGCTAAATCTAAAGTTCTGGGCCCATGACATAAAAGCAAATACAAATCTAGCCTAAAAAAGGCTAACCTGTTCACACTGCTGTTGAATTTAGCCTAATGATGAAGTACATAGCAGCGAACTGATTTGATAGGAATTACTTTTATGAATTGTTTGACAATAACCTCCAGGTGAACCTGAATCCGAGTCATCAGAACCGCAATAAAGATGTAAAAAATGGACTCCTTGTCAAAATCGTTGTTTCGAGGAATAGCGCTCGTGCAATCATTGTAGCTACGATTTAGCCAATTAGTCTTCTAATATTTCAATCACACTTTACATAAAAGTAAGGCAATCAAATAAAAGGAGAATTTACTTAATTCGCATATATTTATTCAAAGAAGATCAACAAATTTTAATCTAAATAAATAAAATAAAATAAGTAAATAATTTGTGCTAGGACTTTTGCTAATTGTTTGGCCGAGCTTCTCCCCGAAATTTGTGGTGTGCGTTCTGAAGTTATTACTTAAATGGAGGAACCTACAAACGAAAAAATGGACTATATGAGAACCTTTCTCATGGCAGAAACACACTCGGAGGTTTTCCATTGCCTGCTTAGGGGCGACTACTGTCAGAAAAAAATTTCTAAATTTAGATGTCCAAGCTTGAACCCAGGTCATACAGAGTAATAGTACACACCCCTAACCACTCGGCTACTGAGGTCGTCCGCTGAACAGTAAGATGTTTAATTTTAATTGAATTCATATTTACTTAGGCGATAAACTATTTGCCACAACAATTCGTGGTCATTTAGCGGAAAAAAATGTCAAGCATGAAAAGCTTGGTGTGCAGTTGCTCGCTTGTAAAGCTAAAACTCATTCGAATACGAATTTGAAATTTGATTTTGAGGTCACAGAAATCGATTACGTATTGAAAATAACCGACTTCGAAAGCCAGAATGCCTAAAAAGCTTACTGCCGAGAACCAGTGTGACCATTTTAAACTCTTTGTGGATAGATTTGGCAATTGTGTTTTTGTATTAGCCTCGGAACTTCTTGGCGTTTTTAATGCTACCTTTTTTATAAGTAAATTTCGTCTTTTTAGAACTCTCAGAAAAAAAAATGATTTCATATTAAGAAATATTGAAAGATTTAACTGTGAGCTATCCACTTATTCTTATCACTTCTGTGGAAAGGCTAATTGATTTGAAAATATCAATTCTTACAGAAAAATCCGGAGCTCGTATTAATCAACACTTTTAGACAGTAATCGCCTGTGGGTCGAAATTTCCGAAGTCGCTCTAGTTCTAAAACCCGATTTTTTGGTGTGTAAACATCTTAACCCAGGACAATTTCTAACCGTTTCTTGTGGAGCCCAGCAGAAAATCTGTAGTTAAAGCAACTACTTGTCAAATATACCTTAGTTCGCTAGTTCGTGGCTATTTCATGCCCATTCCGGGGCTAGTTCACGACAAGTTTATAGCAATTTCGGGACCTGTTTAGTACTAATTAAGGCCAACTTCTGGACTAGATCCGAATCATTTCAGGGCCGCTTCGTGGCCTGTTCGGGACCATTTCGGGGCTAGTTCACGATTATTTGACGCCCGTTTCCGGACAAGTTCTGAACAATTTCGAGCCCAGTTCAGGACTTTCCGGAATACTTCGGGGCTAAGTAGTTCAGGATCATGTTACGACTAGTTTAGGACCATTTCGCTACTAGTTCAATACTATTTTATGACCATTGTGGCACTAGTTTGAGTTTATTTTCTTACTAGTAGGGGATCATTTTGGAACATTTCAAGACTTATTCAAGGTCTTTTCAGGAGCAGTTCTCGAATTTTTTAGAACTACTTCAGTACTACCTTATGAAAATAATTACGAAATGATCCTGAAATAGCCCTCAACTCTCCACTATTTCTGAAGTGGTTCTGCACTAGTCGCGACAAAAACTTTTAATTCTAACCTAACCTATTTATGTGTGGACAGATGTTCACACACCAAATTTCGTGGGTACGCTACTCCTGCCTCTTTTCACAACTTAATNGCTACAATTGCAATTGCTGTCGCTTCTACTACCGCTGCTGCTGCTGGCAGTTAGTTTAAAATGTGAGGACTTAAGAGCGTTAATGTCATTTGGCCGCATACTGTCTGGCTTGAAGAAACGTCATAAACTTAGTAGCAACTCGACTAGGTTAAATTAGAAAACATACTCCGGTTTAAAAGTGTCGAAGTTTGCGAAGCGAGAGCACAATCGAAGAAATTTCGGCCAACAGTTTTAATTAGCAAAGAATATGGTTTGATGGGTTTTCGAATTCATAAGTAAAAAAACAAAACTCGTGCTTCGGATTAAAAAATTAAAAACTGGTGCTAAATTCGCGCAAAAAGTGTTAATATTTATTGAAAGCAAGCACAGACCAAAATAATAAAAACAAGAAGAAGAAGAATAAACATTTACGAGACGTTCAGACGTTTGTTAAGCCGCAAAAATATAGTAAAAGCATATTATAAAAGTAAATAAAAACGCTAAATTAAGCGTAATTACATACACGCATATATAAAGTTTATAAAAAAAATTAAGTGAATTGTCACAGTGTACCTAGCAGCAGCATGGAGAAAACGCATCTGCAGCTGTTAACATTTCTGTGTATCTTCACATTAAGTTTTTGTGTGCCAACGTAAGTTTTACTTAAGTATTGAACAAGGATTATGATTTTTATTAGCACGAAAAATATTAACGATTTTTTTTTTATTATTCATATTAAAATAATCAATATCGACATACGCATAAAAGCGTTTATTTTACGTTAATTAAGGTGAACCGCATTTTTACTAGCTACATTGGAATTTTTTCCAGCGCTTAAATATGCATATATTATAACAAGTGGATTTTGTGCAATTGAAACAATTTCAGGCACTTCGTTGTGAGAGAACAAAATTTAAAAATAGAATGGAAAAATTTTTATATGTATGTAACTGCAAAAAGTTCTAAAGGCACAATTTTTAATAATTGTTGCGAAAAAACGAACAAAAGCTGAGCAAACAAAATTTAAGTAAAACAAACGGAGACCGTTATTTGATTTGTGGCTTTTTTTTACAATGGCAGCTTACTTTATTCATACGAGTACTTATTTTGCTTTTGGCTATTGGCCTTAGAATTTTAAAATATGAAAAATTTTTAACAAGCTCGAGGCCCAGCATTTTAATAAAACTCAAATTTTCGTTCCATTCCTCAGAAACTCTTGAGTATTTGTTATTTATTATTTGTTAATTGTATTTGGGAAATTGACAATAACTTTTATATAATTTTAAAAGCAGTTATAAATTTTTTTTGTCTTTAAGAATTGCATAAAAAATATGTAGTTGATTGTGACAAGTGGAATTTGAAAAAATGCACAAGAAACAACGACAATAAAAAGTAAACTACGAATATTGAATGGTGAAAAGTGAGCATATGCGCACAACTGAACCCGTGCACATGTCCACAATTTAAAAGGGTTTACATACTTTTTCCGCAAATCCCTGCGACTCCAAAAGAAGTTGCCCAATACCATCGATCTATTAACGAAATTGCAAGGCTGACGAACTCGCGCGCCATGACGGCATTACCTGATACAGATATGTATAAGGGATACTCTTGGCATCCGTTTTCAAACATACACATACATTTCTATTGAATGTAAAATGCATAGAAATTGCCAATGAAAGATGAAAAATGGAACCGATCTGTCTGATGCTCAACGTACTAAGTCTCTCCTTAATCTAAGGAGGCAGGACATTCGCAAAGTAACTGGAGTTCATATTGTCTGATTGGATTACACGCAGCTAGACTGAATGCATCCTGGAACTACTACGGCAGAAGCTGCATGGATGAGGACGAAGAAGAAACCATCTAAGATCTTCTCTGCCATTGCTCGACTCCTATCAATTACGTAGAGCAAAAGTTTAGGCAGTTGTTATTGCTACGATGATCTCGATGACCTCAAAGCGATGGGTGTTAGAAGCTTATGCACTTTTTTGCTAAGCACCAAGTGGCTTACAGGGGGAACGGGGATAACACAAGTAATTTTTAGCAAAAAAAACCGACTTCAACTCTCATATAAAAAAAAAATATATATATATATATATATATCTCATGATCCACTGATCGGATCTTAACCAGATTAGAATTATCGAAATCGGTTGACGTGGTCCAAAGTTATGCGGTAACATACATAAAAAAAAAGTATTCCGACGAACTGATAACCTCCTCCTTTTTAGGAAGTCGGTTAAAAAGACAATGAGTCAGAAAAAAGATTCGGCTAAATATATTTATCGCAACATATGATTAGGTTATAGTTACATTACTTGGTTATAGTTACCAAATCATGCGCTGAGAGCAATATTTTTAGCTGACTTTTTTCTGGGTGTAAGTGAGTCCACGTAGGACTACGGCCCAACCTAAACCATATTTTATATCCACTTGGGAGTGACATACGATTTCTTATTCACCTTTTCATTGTCATTTTTATGCATACGTTTAAAAAGCCATACATTTATATCCAGTTTTTTAAATAGCGAAAAATTCAAGTTCAGTTTATAAATGGCTGCGTTTCTTTATACATTCCGGATAATCTCATTTTACAGCCGGAATAAACAGAATGTGTTTGAAATATACGTTAACATATCATCAGGAACGTTCTAAAGAATAAGTAAACAAAAAAGTTTATTCCAAACGTTCAGAATGAATAAAGAAATTCAGCCAATGAAAAAAAAATATTTCCAATTTTTAAATAGCCAAAAAATGATGTCTAGTTTTTAAAGTGCCAAAAATTTTTGTTCAATTTTTAAGCACCCAAACATTTATGCCCAATTTTTTAAAGACCAAAATATTATCTCCAGTTTTTCAATAACCCAAAATGCATTACCACTTTTAAATGACCAAAAAATTATGCTCAGTTTTACAATGTTCAAAAATTCATTACCAGTTTGAATGACCAAAAAAGTATGCTCACTGTTCACTTACAGTTTGAATAATGAAAAAGTGTTTAAGTAGCCAAAATTAAGTTTAAAATTTAAAATAGACCAGTTTTGAAAAAGTCAAGTTGTCCAAGCCAAAAATTTTTTGTCAAAAATTCATGCCCAGTTTTTTGATGACCAAAAACCTGTGCTCAATTTTTCAATGATCGAATTTCATTGTCAGTTTAAATGATCAGAAAATAATGTAGAGTTTTTAAGTGATCAAAAATTCATATTCAGTTAATATCCAGTTTTAAAATAGCCAAAAATATATTTAAACATTTTTTAAGTAGTCAAGATTTTACATTGCTAAAAGTTTATAGTAAAAAATTCATACTATTAAATCGCTAAAAAAAACGCCGGGAATAAGAGCAGAGAAGGCTCGGCATAAGATCAGTCTGCCTAAACTGTTAATTCGCCAATTGAAAATTTCTTTAATATTCATACGCCATTTATAACTAATGTCAAGGGCACTGAATAGAGAACAGGAAAGCAATGTGACGATTAGTTTATTCAAACAAATTAAGCTCTATATTAAAACATATGCAAAAATAATTTCTTCAAAAGTGTGTTAACACAAAATTTTGCATTTTTGATATTATATGCTTAAAATTTGACCATTTCATATATGTAATTGTTTGCCTTCCAGCAAAAACTGCAGCAATATTTTCTTGTAACTTATTGCAAAAAACTATAGGAACTTTATTTATTTAACTCACCTAAGATATGCATATGCCTATAAGGAGTTTTTTTTTTTGCTTTTTGACAAATATGACATTTTGAGTTAATACTCTTTTGAAAAAAGTGTGCGATGTCTATGTATGGCCATCAAGTCGCACATTCACGCATTACAAAGAATTATTTCATTGTTATTTTTAATTTTTTTGTTTGCAAATCGTCCGCATGCCAATTAAGAGTAAATCTCAACGCTTCATTAAGGCGGATTTGCGAATTAAAAAAAATATTATATAAATTTGAGCGCATTTATGACCATTTAAAGTTTGAACACGGCACACAGTGTTTCGACTATATGGAGGCAGGTGGAAATAATAGTAAAACTGCACCGATTTCATTGAAACTTGACATTTGCTCTAGTTCCACTTACAAATAGAGTATGTATTATGAAATTTGGTAAAGATGGAATAATTGTCACGCCTTCTACTCTTGTGGGCGGAAACATTAAATTTCATCCGATTTCGATGAAATTTAGTTTGTACTCTCTCTTTTAATAGAAGAACCTAAAAATATAAAATATGGGGAAGATTGGATGACTACAACGTCCAAAACTCAAAAAATATGTGGGCCCAGTCATTAAATGTGATGGAATTTTGGTTAATTTTTGTTTCCTGCTTTCCACTCTCAGAAAACAAAGGTTATACTATAAAATGACATAGGTGTAAATAATCGCTTTTTTCCAATGTTTGATGAGAGTTTTTCATTGTTCGGAAAAATAAAATAAAAAATTACATTGTATTTGCAAAGTCGCGCGAAAAGATCAAATTACATATTCGAAAACTACATAAAATTCTCTAAAACATTCGTCTAATTTCCAGACCTTATTGACCGGTACTCACACTTTTTTTTACTAATAATCTTTAACATCTAAATTTCAAAGAAAATTTTTTGGTAGGAAAATAGGAAAGTACCAAATAAATGATAAATACCTACACCTGAATATTCCACCACATTTACATAATTGATTACAGCTGAAAAAGAAACACTTTTTTTTATGGGTTAATCGCCAAAGGCAACTAAACTGATTAGTCGGTATCGCGCCAATTCCCGTTTTTCTTTGGAAATGTATCGTTCGTGAAGAAAGGGGGGGGGGGGGGAGTAAATAATGTGAAATTTGGTATTAATGAGTTTTACTTTTTCCTCTCTAAGTCCAACCGGTTTTTTTTATCAACTGTCACCATGACTTTTTTCTACCTGCCTCCATATAGTCGCAACACTGTGCGGCATCACGGCGACATGTTTAATTCATATTCATTTGACATATATATCTACATACATGAATGTATGTACATATACATACATATATACATACATACCTTCATAGATAGATATTAAAATGAGGTGTGCACCGCGTCATCTAGTAATCTATTGTGCCTTCTACTCTACACAATACTTCTTCTAAAGCTAGATCCCTCAGAAGCTTTAACAGCGCTTTCGCGGATAGGTAGTGAATGTGATTAAGCTGTGACCACACTGAGCGTATACTTCCCATACATGCATAAATATGTATGTATGTACATATATACAAGAAGTAAAATAAGTTTGTTTTATTTATGAAGTGCAAATCGTGATCGTCGCCGGCGAGTGCGCGCGTACTACTACATACCCCGGGACATAATCAGACCAACCATATCGGCACATCAGCCTTGCATTCATTCTACTAAAAGCCATGGAAAGGATCGAAGGTAGGCATATAAGAGACAGCTTTCGCAACTTTCACTCTGGCGAGAGTGCGATTTATTGACAGACGATAATAGCCTGCAAAAGTTGACTTTCTGTCTACTTTGAGGCAAGCGATTTTTGAATCGGCATTTAGTCCAGCGATTTTTGTTGAGCAGTGTTGAATCGCTTAGAAAATCGCGCCATGTAAATGCAGCAGTACCGAATTTTGGTACGCATCTTTAAACACGCCGCTAAGGCGTTGAAAGTAAGGTTCAAGAAAAAC